GCAAAATGCTTGGGATAGCTGGACAAAATGGGATCAAGAGGGGCGTCAGCGCGGGAGTTAAAAGAACATAACCCGCCAAATCCTAATAGGGTAAGGGGACGTGAGTCACAGGCATAAAGTCGCCACAAAGAATAATAAGATACTTGCAAGAGAGTGCGGTAAGTTTAAGGAAGAGAAAATCAAAAAGCGGACTTGGAATGTTGAAGGAGGAAGGTAGATACTAAAATTAATATTGCCGTTAACATTACTTAACGGTCGAGGCTTGCATACAAGAGTGATAGCGTCATTGAAGTCATCCGAGTAAGTAAATAAGAACTTGCAATTTGTGCACCATTGCTGGTTTGGAAAAAACAGCCACTCCACCACCTCTACTGCTGGATAAGGATTTTTGGTACGTATGAAAGCAAGAGAAGAACGGCAGCGTGATAGCTGGCGATTCGATATCACTATTCAACCAAATCTCTTGAGGATAGATAACTGGGGTCTTACTGTGCACTTTTTCCAGCAGAAATAAATCTTTATTGACGTTTTTGTTAAATAGGAATCTACAATTTTCGACAAAAAAGCGGGAATGGAGAGTTTTTCCTTTGATTGTTGTTTGAGGGCGTTCTGCCAACCGCAGCGCCGTTTTGCCGTCTCATAGGATTTTTTCGGAGAGAGCGTGGTAGATTTGGCGGTATGGAGTCGCAAATACCACATAGGACGGAAAATGCAACAGCTGGCGTGGTGGACTGTCGATGATAAGAAACGTAAGTACTCACCTTGCTGGCATCATAGGTACTAGGTAACAATCTCAGCACACGTGTTTCGCTGATATTATACCGCTGCATGGGGCAGCTGTGGGAGGTTCGACTCATCTGTGGGTTCCTTGGCGTTGCGGACATGTTTTCTGGGATATAAACTCTAGTTTTCCCGCTCTGTTATTTAATTTCCAGGGAAACTGATATGCAAACTTCCAGGAAAACTTCGCAGCTGCACCTTGAAGGAACACAAGACTGGCTAAACGCATGAGTCCGGACTTTTAACTATTACCTATGTAGTCAGTATGATAACTTATTGAATACTGAGACGTTTGTTGCTCTCTATTAAGATCATTTGTGGAAAGTGCACGGCATCTCCGCCCGTCATTTGTACTATAAAATATAGACGCGAGAGCCATAGTTCATAACGGAAAAATAAGGCTTGAGAACCCGCAAAGTTGAATGGTAACCAAGCGGCTGAGAAATTTAACGCTACAGATAAAAAAGCATTCAAAAAGTCGTTTACATAATTTCAGGCAAAAAGAGAGCAGCCATCGGTTAGCTGGAAATAGTTACCATATACAATTACTCCCTAATCACAAATAGTATAAGTACATTTTATTGGTTTGTTCACGTAGCCTAGCGTGTAGCTGGTGAATGAGGAGAATGGTGAATGTTTTACTGTGGATGTTTACACTGCTGAACTCTAAGGCACTTCAGACCCACTTACTTCTCGTTTTGTTTCCTG